AACAATATATTTCACAAATTTGATAATGCTGATAATTCTAGGATTTATAGAAATTTGATTTAAGTTTTTATTCGTAAATGCATCTTGAATAACTGTAATAAATGAAGCTAATTTGTTTTTCTTTTTACTTTCACTTACCTATACATGAAATATAAAGTAAGGGGAAGTATTGTGATCGTGAAAATTTTCTAATCGAATCTCAGTTTTCAACGGAAATACACATTTTGAGGTACCCTGAGCCATCGAATTTGATCATTTGATCATCGAATATTTGAAGCGTTATTAATATTGCATAGGAAGAAGAATAGAGAAACTGATTTTTGAAACAAATAAAAAACAATTAATATACTGGTTATCAGTTCATATATACCGGTCCCTTATGCCTTGCTAATATTTTATGAATCGAATATAGCTCCCCCTATATTTTATTAATGGGGCCCAACTCGTCCAATATTTCATTTACCTAAAATATCCCACAAAAAGTCCAATAAACCGTCTAAATAAATAGTAAGATTAGTTCCGCAAAGTGGTCTGAGTGTGTGTATGTGAATTAACACTCTAGCTCATAAACGAAAAGTAATACGCAAGTGTATTGGCATATTTAAGGTTTTTATATGCTAGGGATGTTACAACAACTTTTTCGCCAAAATCTACTAAAAGTGACACTTTATATAATGGACTAAACACATTTTTGCGATTTTCAACATGATTGAATATTGCATGTTTTTATCATTAGTTTTTTTATTTCTTTCCCGATCAGCTGTTTGATTATAACCTTCCTCAGCTGTGTAACCTTATCTTCCAATATGCGAGTGCTGTGCTTTTCGAATGACTTTTCTTTTTCTTCCTGATGATGCGTTAATTGGCGAAACGTTGAGGTTTTTTTTATTCTTTGCCTGCATTTTAGAGACATAATGCTGTGTAGTTTTTAATTTTTTTTCGATTACAACCTAACATTGGGAACAAGGATAGCTGCTACCTAATGTGAGACTTCTTACTGGTATATACTAGTTTGAATTTATTTATGATCTAATAAGAATTATCTTGACAGTTATAATATGTTAAATATTAAGTCTCTATGTAGGGTATATATGTATATATGAATATCCCCTATAAAGAAACCAGCCAAAGATATTAAACTTGGTGAAGCAATAGCCAGTCTAGACTTCGGCCAAAGAAGACAATGACGTAACGAGATCACGACCATTTGCATTCACTTTTACCTTAAGCTCCTCAGCTATCACAATTCGGTGGCTCCTGACTTCCGCTTCGTTACCCGACAAGGAGGGCGTATCTAAAAGCACTATTTCGTTTGTACTGCCCACAGCAGCGACTGCAGGCAGTTGAGCACTGTGGAATTTTGTTGGCATTAGTCGAAAGTCTAGGTACGACATGGTACCCAGACTGCTTCTTTCTGACCGCTCCTGAGTGGCAGTGGAGCTGTTGGCAGTACGACGGTTTTAAGTTTATGGTCTAAAATCGGTTTTTTAACCCGATGATGACCCACATGTTTGGGTTGAAACGTCGGTAACAACAATAAAAATAATATATATATGTGTGTGTATATATATATATATATATATATAAAAGCAACAAGAAACTTAAAATACCAAAAACAAAAACATAAGCTTTTCTTCTCTCATGTGCAAAAAAACAAAAAAAAACAGAACTTCAAGACGCTTCTCTCCCAGCAGCGTTACTGGTATTAATGACCAATACACTAATTATAAATTTATTACTTATCATTATTACCATTTTCACTAATAAATAAGCACTTTAATTATCAAAGACAAATAATAGATTTTGACATTAATATTTTATCATTATTAATTTTATTAAATGTTAGTTGAATTTTGGTATATTATACATCTACAAAATAATTTTGTCCCTCCACACCAACAAAAATGATTTGCTATAGTTTTGTTTTAATTTTAAATATTTTCCATTTGATTTTGTGGGACTGTTGTCATCAAAACTCATGATACATAAGGTTAACAAATGCAATACTTAATAACTTATATAAACAATAAAATAATATACATAATAAACTTATAAAAATGAATCATCCATCACGAACTATTACTTGTTTTTTATATATTAAATCTCTGATGATATAATTAAAACATAATTATCTTATAAGTACTGCGTCCTGACCATATATCATCTATGATATAGAACGGTCGATTAACTTCCTTCAATATTACAAATAGATTATAGTTCAAGAGACAACATTTAATGTTACTTAATAAACAAATGGTTAAAAAAACAACAACGATGCACCATTAATTCTTAAAATAACACTTCTTCATCTATAATGAGGCTAAAATTTCACAGGAAACAATCATTTTGAAAAAGATGTGCAAACTGGTTAATATTTTATAGTACAGACAGAACCTAAACTAATTATTCAACCCGAAAGCTTCTTTTTCATAAAAATAACGATAATTATTTTGGAGAAAACAAAATGAGACTAACTACCTATATGAAATGGTGTTTAAGTGATTCATAAATTCCTTTTAACTGTAATTACAGGAACAATTATACTTCAAGAGACAATATTTTAATATTTTTTCCATAAAACATGGTTATATTATACCATTTTGGGGGGAGGGGCTTCAGCCTCAAAGTCCCCCTTCCCGCGTAGATTCGCCCGTGTCAACCGCAACGGTGAGCAGTTTCAGCGAAGCATTAACGGTTGGCAGCAGCAAGGGATGTTGGTCATTGCTGTTGGCAGTACCAGCGAAATAGTGCCTTAAGAAGAGAATAAAAGAAGACTATTACCCTCTTTGGCGATTGGAGTGTGGTTTATACCTCTTTGGACTAGGCGTGTGATCAGCTTTTTAGTGATATCCTATAAAAGGATAGTCTCCATACAAAACAACAAAAAACACAGGCTTGTAAGTGTTTTAAAAACAGTTTTTTCCCCAAACAGTCGCTGGGCTAGCGTGGCAGAACTAAATTGAGTGGGGTACACTAGGCTTGTATAGAGGGCATTACCAAAAAATTGATTTAGCACGCTCGTGACGGTTTCCTCTCTCACTCACTCTCACTCACTCTCTCTCTCTCTCTCTCTCTCTCTCTCTCTCTCTCTCTCTCTCTCTCTCTCTCACACACACACACACTCTCTCACTCTGTCTCTCTCTCCCTCTCTTCACACTACTACCTCCTTTTACACTACGAACGAGGTCGTATCTTCGCCGTGTACCGTAAACCTTCTATTTTTCTTCTATTTATAGTTGTTTGTGTGTATATGTCAGCTTCTAGTCGAGATGTAAACATCGAAATAGAAATTCAATACACCGAAAAAATATATCGATACATCGTGCCTCGATATTTTTAATTTTTAGGAGTGGGGATGTTAATAACGCAGAATCAATACAAAAAAATCGATATTTCATATCCAGGTGTATCGCTGTAGCCTGGACGGATCTACGCTGATGGGCTTTCGGGCTGATTTTTTCATTTGTTGAAGTTTCATTTGTTGTATAAATTAGCCCATTATTCGGCAACATTAAATTTATTAGCTAATTTATTACGACGACGTTTCGACCATCACTAGGGCCATTTTCAAGTCTTATCGAGTCCTCCAATAAATATCTATTATTAAGTGTCATATTAATTTTTTCAGAGAAAATTAATAGGTGGGCACACCTGAGTTTTTATTTAAATAATTGGTGACATTTTATAGATTATCTTTACTCTACAACTCTTCCAATTAAAGGAGGGGGCTTTATCACTAACTTTCTTGACAATGTCTTTAATCTATTGTTAAGTTTTATTATTAATTTTATTTCATTCATTTGGTTGTACTTTACAATGTTTATGTCAATAAAACATCTAAATGTATCTGTTCTTCATTGTTTTGTAAGATCTAAAGTAATATATTTAATAAATAGCAATAAATGAGTGTGCAAGGACAAGACTCGTCATAATTTCGCATTTGGGAATTAAACACTAGTAGCATGTTAAGCAAGCCTGAAATTCTTATTTATTTCGCCAGATAGTGCACTTTTGCAAAAGGTGATAAGAACACCATACAAAAATGGAGTCCACGTCGGAATGAATTATAAAATGAGGACATTGAAAGACTCTGAGAAGAGAAGAAGTCAATGAAGGCCTTTAAGTAAATGAAGACAAAATAAAATATATGATAATAAGCCGAAAATTTTACCCCAATAATAGGAACTGCGTAGAAGGAAAATCATTCCCGAGAATAGAAAAATTCAAATGCCCCGGCTCTATAATAACCTCAATTCATTCATATAATTCCAACGGTAGGAATTATACCAGCGCATAATAAGTGTAAACATATCTTTCTTCTCCCTTTCAAAGAAACCCGGAAAAAATCAAGAAATCTCGAATTAAGGGTGTACAATGCTATAATAAATCTACTTCTAAGAAACGAGTATAAGTAGTGTTGCCAAAAATCGGTCTAATACAAAAAATTGATTTTTTGAATAAAAATTAAGGCAAAATAGTTACTAATATTTGACAATTTCAGTTACTGTATGTAAAGAATTGGTATAACCAATATACGTTTGCATTTAACTCTTCTAATATTTCATTCGGGTTTAATTAGGTTTCTCCTATCTAAATAGTTACAATAATATCTCTATATTAATAAGCTAACTGCAAGACTCTTGCGTAAGACCAAGATCTGAGTTTGCAAGACCGAGACTCGTCTCAATTTCGCATTTGGGCAGTACCACTTCCTGGTATTTTTGTTAACTTCCTAAATTCAGGAATAGAGATCTCTCATCAATTTCCTTTTCGACGCCTCTTGATAGGCACGTTGTCGTGTTCGTGTATTTAAAAAATTTAAATCTTGAATTAATACTTTATAAAGATAATTAAAAATTCCAGTATTATTTACCTTTTTTATATACGAATTAATATAAGATTAGATACTTTTAACATATATCGGATATATTTGACTAATTACAAGGAGGTAGTAGAGCCAGCGAGTTGCCCTCATTGCGAAAGAGAATGGCTGACGTCACGGGATGCCTGAATGAAGGGCCGCCACGGCGACCTTGACCTTGAGGGACTGGAAGAGGCCGTAGACCTTGGCCCATCCGGCGCTGCCCTAAGGATCGATACACACATCGATTCTTACCACGCCTTTGCTATATTTAAAAGAATCGATTCCGAGAAGCCTTGTGAGGAAACGATCATTCATCAATATTGTCATCCCAAAAAGTTAATGTAGTTACACCCACCTGTTTAACATTCTTAACCATTCTTCTACCAGCTTCCATAATTCATAATCTGAGTTAAATAATCATAATATTTTGGTAAAAACAAAATTCATCAAAGTAATAATAAGACGAGAAACATTAAGATTCGATGTCGCTAACACTTGCTTAAACCCACCATGAATAACATTCAGAAGATCAAAGTCTCGGGTTTAAAGATCTTTTTTAGTTTAATCTTAAATTTGAATCGATTTTATTGGGTTGGAAAATATGTCCTTTCGGTTTTTTTGTTTATTCTTATGTCAAAGCCATACATTTATCATCTGAGGAATAAATCCCTAAGGTAGAATGTTTATCTTATTTGTAATATATTAAAACCATCTCTCTCTGGAACTATTGATAAAATTAGATATTTAATATATTTGGTACTGTGAATATAGTAGATTCATTCATTATCGGCATATTTTGCTGTGTAATTTTTTTAAAAAAAAAAGGTAAGCATGATGTTACCTTATAATATAAATATAAAATAATTTAGAGGAAGGAGATGGTCCGGGATGGCGGTCATAAATAGGCTGAATAGTGGCAAAACTATTTTATTAAAAGCCAACGTTTCGACCCTACTTTGCAGGTCTTCTTCAGGGAGGTATGTTCAGTAGTACAGAGTTCTAAGCTTTAAAAGAAACCTTATGTCCCAACCTCCTGATTCATCAGACCTAGCTCCAAGCGACTACCACTTATATTCCGGTCTCTACAGAACTTCATGAACTCCAGTTTTTGACAATAAGTACCCGATGTTCAATGAATTTGGCATTACGCATAAATAAAAAGATGGGGTATGTCATACTATGGTCAATACGTTGTGTATTAAACTTAATGTTATTTTATGTTACTCACGTGAATTATAATTAGGTATGAAGCTGTCAGGAAACTCTCTTACCTGTAAAAAAAAAAGAAAGGTTAAAATTAAAAAAAAAAATATATATATCTAATTTAATGTTATCCAGCCTTATATAAAAAATATTTTGAAAATATAGAAAATTGAGACCCACTTTACATATAAATACAAAAAAACATTCGTCCTTATTTAAATTATCCTGAGAAAAAGGCCAATAAAAGAATAGTTATAAGAGTGGGAACCGAGATTTGCATTGAAAACAGGACCCCGCTATCCGGGTCATTCCCAGCTGTATCCTTTTAATTAACTCAGTCACAGGTGAAGAAACAACACCTCGATTCCATGAGAATATTATGCAAAATGTTAAATGCAACTCTTACGCAAGGAAATAAGATTATAAACCGTTAATAGAAAGCTTATAAAATTATCAATTTGCATAACAATCATAAGGAAAATATCATATTCATTGTTATCAGATCCTACATATTTATTAAATGACTCAATCTGGAATCAATATGAATACTTAATATATTTATGAATGAATAAACGTTATTGTTAATGTGAATATTGAATATTGATATAAAAATGACTTATATTTTAGTGTAAATATGACAAAGCTGTAAGTTATATATTATTAGTAAACGATCAATAATAATTTCGTAAGTATCAATACAGCGATGGATATTGATGAATGTGAAGTCAAATGAAATGAAAATATTTTTATTATCCTGGGACTGTTTTTCCTTTAGAACAAAGCATTGAGAAAATGCCTGTGTGGCCATACATTAAATTAAATATTTACAAAACGATATCTAATTAAAATTTAAAATATAAATTTAAAAAAGAACAAAACAAATATACATATACATATATATATATACGAGGTTTTCCAATGCCATGGGATTTAGGTTTTACAAATTAAAATATTGTAATTTATAACAGACAAACTAATAATCAATTGAAAAAGTGAATGAGGGAGAATGGTTTCCTCCAGGATTCAGCAGCTAATTTTTTTTTCCTGTTCTTCCCTACCTCGCCTTTTAGGCTATACGGGATTTCCCCGGACCAGAGAGTGAGGGCGTGGAATTCCCTCTGGGATCGGGACGCGAACTCGTGATTATTTTCATATCATAAAATCATATATCCGGTTGCCGGGCAACGGCGGTGCAGTGCACACGCGTTAGCCCATTCGGCCACCCCGCCCTTTTTTCAGCAGCTAATTGTTACTACTTTGGCCTTATCAAACATTTTAGAAGCAGAATGCTCTCTAATCGTATCAAGATCAAGCTCTATGTGACCTTAGACCGCCCAGTCGTCACTTATGGATCAGAGGCTTGGGTATACACGAAGGCTGATGATTTGAGGCTTCTTGTCTTCGACAGGAGTATTCTTAGACGGATTTTCGGCTTTGTTCAACGTATGGAGAAAAAGGAGGAATGCCGAACTAACGAGACTATATACAACGATGTCGACACAGTGAAGTTCGTGAAGCTCGGAAGACTTGGATGGACAGTACATGAGCAAAGGATGATTGCGAATGTGATTCCGAAAATGATCCTTATCTAAGAGCTCTATCCACATACTGGACTTAAAAGACAGGAACTTAACAGACGATATAGCAGGCTATATAGACTACTGAATAGAAAATCTAAACTTTCTGGTGAAAACAAATTACTGATCTACAAGACAATACTGAGACCGATCTGGACTTACGGACTTGAACTATGGGGAACAGCTAAATTTTCTAACATCAAACGCATTCAATCCTTCCAGTCCAAAGTTCTCCGTACAATAGTCGATGCTCCCTTCTATGTAACCAATAAAATCCTGCATAATGACCTTAATATCTCATTTATTCTTGATCTTATCCCAGCCAAATTTTCCAAATTTCATCAGAACCTTTCTCATCACCCAAATCCCGTTGTACAATCCCTATCAAGCACTACCCATCCCTACAATCCCCTTCGTAGGTTAAAGCGGCAGTGGCCACGAGTTCAAATATGGATTTTTGTAAATATGGGTATTTTGGAGTTCTAGCAATGGCCAGATTCTCCACTCAAGTCATGAGTGTCTGTGGCTGTAGCGCTCTTACTCATCCTCCGCTGGTTTTAAATACCAGTGAAGTGGCTGAGGGAGAAGCGTAGGAATCTCCTAAGCCTCCCTTTTCCCTCCACATGTGGAGGGAACAGGATTGGTTCGGAGATCACCTGGCAAATTGTAAATAATGTATAAAGGTATGTTTTATATAAGATGTTTGTTTTACTTTTATTTATATTTTTATTTACTTATGTGTATATAAATATATTTTTTCATTTTCTCTTTTGTTCTTTTTTTCTTATTCTTTTGTTATTACTTTATTTATTTATATTTTTGTATATACGGTATGAATGTACTCTCTGAACTCTATTATAAGTGTCCTTAACTGTGACAAATTGTAATATTTCTGAATAAAGTGTTTAATAATAAAAAACAAAAAAACCTAAGAGCTCTACGGGAAGCGGCGAGTTGTACGACCGAAAGTGCGATGGATAGATTAGGTCTCTGAGGAAGCGTATTTTAAATTTCTTGCACAGTGATTCGTCAAGTTAAAAATTACAAAATGAAACAACTTAAATCTTCTTTAGCATGCTTAAAAAAGTAATGAGCGATAATCATGTCCTAGGTAACTAGTTTTTGTTCTAAGAAGCACACTCTTTACATAACACTCGTTTTAGGGTCACTGTTGAAAAACAAGACGTAAACAAGAACATCTGTCACTTCATAATTTATTCCCTCCATGATGTAACAATTTATATAAGTATAAAATCTGTTTCTATATCTATATATGTAGATTTGTTTAAATTTATAATTACCTCCGACATAATATCTAATATTATCGGATTGAGGGAGTGATTTTGGAAATAGATGACAGACTGGGAATTATGTAAATACAAAATTAATTAGAAGAGACTGAATGGTAATGTCAATCAGTACTGCCATTAACATCCAGGTTCACTCTGTTATTTCAATCACCGAGGCTTTACAACTAATTATATCTCGAAATATTCTAGTTAATATATTCACAATTAATGTTTGCTAAATTATATTACGGTTTAACTTAACAATGCACTAAACCAGATATATTTTGCAATTCGCTCAATTGTTTGAATCAAATGGCTAAAAATATTTTTTTACAAGGAATTGAAACTTTTTGAAATCACATTTCTAAGGAATTATTTTGTAATGAAGTTCTTGAGTTATGCTATAAGTTTGAATTGTACTTATGCATGTTCTAAAAAAAAAAATGTTAGATTAAATGAGAAATTATTATTCAGCAGTTTGAGAACCCTATCCTTGTGCAGTTAGGTTTTATTTATTTCCATTGCTTTTTTAAAAATTCTTGTTTTCATGAATTTTTCGTTCGTGCCTCAAGAACTGAGAACATCATATTACCTAATTATTAATACAGGCTATGAAAAAATAGGCTTCTAATTGGAAATGGCCCTCAATGAAATTATCTATTCAAAGGACAAATTTTGCGGCTATTCTATAAATAACATTTTATATACAATAAGATCAAAGTTTTTCTACATTCTTATGAGTTTAAATTAATTTTTTATATCATAATGATATTAGCTCAATGTTTTTCAAATACTAAATAAATAAGAAAAAAATAAGAGCCTGACTGACGAATATAGTTGGACTCGGTTGACATAGTCCGTACTTGCCTTGATGAAGCCGAAAAACATCGGCACAAAATGAAATCAAAAAATTAAGTCTAGGTTTTTCCCATTAGACAAACAGCTCAGCAAATTCCCTAATACCTGCCCTTACCCTGATTTTCTTTATCTTGATTTTCTTAATCAGCTAGGATTTGATCTATATATTGATTAAGTTCTTTGCCTTCTAAACCTTCAGAATCATCAATCATGGTTTCTAATAAAGCATTTTTAATCAAAAAATGCAGCAACTCAGTATTAAAACATCTCTTTAGAATTACAAA